AAGAGTAATAAGAATAGCGGGGGGTATAAAAATTAAAACGATTATTAAGTTAATAATTTAAAATATAAAAGCGGGTAGTATAATAAGAAATTAGTTATAAATAATTATAATAAGTATAAAAAAAGACCGGGGGTATAAGTTAAAGAAGTCCTTTATATAAAAACCGATATAGTTTTTATATATCTTTTAATTATTATTTATTTAATAAATAATACTATAGAGCTTAGTAATATTTTATTAAAACTATAGTTAAAAGTGCGCTTTTTAATAATAAAAAAGGATAATATATTTATAAAAAAGGGAGTACTATTTATAATAACCTCGGTAAAGGCCTAGGTTATTAGTTATAAAATAATTAGTATATTAATAAGAATTAATATACCGGCGTCGTAAATTAATATATTAGCGTCGCTCTTATATTAGTATTACTATTCTATTTTTTAATTAGTTTAAAAAAAAATTATTAATATAGTTAAATTTTACTAAATACTTATAAAGTATTCTAAGCCTTTGTTTTTTTATTCCCTTTATACTTAAGTTATATTATTAAGTTTTGAAATCTAATTTATAGTATTTATTTATAATAGCTTTTATAATTAGAGTTAGAAACGTTCCCTAGGGCTAATTTTAAAATAATACCCTTATTAAAAAACTTCTCCCTTTATAAAAATAACTATTAATTAATTACGGCTTTTTATTATTATTTAATTAATTATTATTATCTTCTTTTTTAAAAAGTAACTATTTTAGTATTAACTAATTTTATAAAGTTAATAATTTTAAAAAATAGTATAACTTTATTATTAAGCTCCTAGTTAATATATTATAAAATACGTAACTTTTTATAAATAATTACCTTAATATAAAGCTTATATTATATTTTATTTACTATTTTCTTAAAAAAATAACGAAAACTTAGTAAACTACCCTCTTACGACTTTTTTTAAAATATAACCCCTCTCCCCTTAGTAAATAATCTTAATAACTTTCTTATTTTATAATAAAGTAGTTTAATAATACTCTTTAGCTTATTAAATAAGTTATTAAAACTAAATAATAATTAATAATAATACTATTTTAATAATAAAAATATATCTGTTAATAGTAATAAATATAGGGTCTTTAAGTTAACTTATTACTCTATTTACTTTTATAACTATTTTTTATTTAAAGTAAAGCGTTTTTTTAAACTATAGCTTTTTATTATACTCTAAATAACTAATCCTCCTCTCTTTTTATAATTAAAATCCTAAACTTACTAATTTTTAGTAATTTAAAATAAACTTATAATACCCTTTTTAACTAAGTTAATAACTTTATAAAAGCTAATAAATTTAGTATTATAAAGTAAAATAAGTATAAAACTTAAGGCTAAATTATTTAATATACTTTTTAATATAATCGTTTTAATAAGCCTAGGCCTATATAAGGCGTTAATATTTAATAATATAAGTTTTATAAATATAATTATAAATAGTAAATTATTACCGAGGTTTAAAAAGAGGATAAGTAGTTATTACGTTATTATTTAGACCCTTAGTATAATTAATATAATTATAGCCCTAGTTTTAAAGCCTCTATATACTTTTTATATTATAAATTTATTAAAGTAGTTAAAAATATTATTAAAACTATAAGCTAACGAGTTAAGATTTAAGCTTATAATATACGTATTATTATTTAAGAATAGTTCTTAGAGTCCTTATTTATTTAGTAAAATATTTATAATACTAAGGCTTATATAAACTAAAAAAAACTAGCTAAATACTTATTAATTATAGTATTAATTAAGCTATTTAATAAGCAAAATATCCTATACGTAGTAAAATAAGTAAATAATAAGCTAAACCGCTTTATTAGCCTTATCTAAACCTTTTTTTATTATTTTTAAATATAAAAGTAATTCTTTAAAATAATTAGCTTTAATAATATTTATAATACTAATTATTTTAAGCTCTCTCTTTTTTAAGTTATTAAGTAGACTTATTTTAAATCTATTTATAATACTATATTCGGCCTTATTAATAACGAGAGACTAGAGGGTTTTTAGTTTTTTTTAATAAATATTCGCTAACTTATAAACTAATACTTAATCCGTTATTTTATTATTATTATTATAAACTATAATAAATAAATAAAAACTATACTAAATAAGTAGTTCCCGGACGTTTAGTAATAACTTTATATTTATTATATTAATTTTAATATTATACTTAGGGCTAAGTAAAAATAAGTTAAGGACCGTAATTATAATAATAATAATAATAAGTTTAATAATAAGGAATATTAGTTATTAATATAAGTAATAACTATACTAAATAATAAAAATAAGGCCTATATTAATATACTTATTAATAAGCCCCCCTCTTATATATATTATAGGGTCTTTATAATATAAAAACTTATTATTTCTATTAAAATTAAGTATATTTTTAAAAAAGCCTAGACTAAGTTTTATAAAAAGTTTAATAACTAATACCTAATTCTCTAGTACTTCTACGTAATATACTTATTTTTAAAAATATAATAAGCCTATTATTTTATTTAAAAAATATTAAAACTTTAGTACTTATGTTACTTCTAATACTAAGTTAAGTAATAATAATATTAAAAGTTATTTTTTAAATAGTTTTAGTTACTTATATTAGCTTATCGACGTTATATAGGATATAATTAGTAATTAAGAACTATGCTTTTACTAAGTTTATATAAAAAACGAGGTATTTATAAACTAGGAATATATAAGTACTCGCTTTAAGTACCTAAGCGAATTTTAAATAATACTTTTTTAAAAATATTTTATTTTAATTAGAATATAAAGCTAGTTTATAAAAAAAATAATACTATTTAATAAGAGGCTATTTTTAAACCCCTTTAGATCTTATAATTTAAATTATACTATTTTAATTAAACTAAGTATTTTATATTATTATAAAATCTATTTTAAAATATTAAATTTAGTTATTTTTAATAAGTAAGAAGTATACTCTTAATAACGTCTTTAAAAAACGTCTTTTTTAAATTTATATTACTAAATCTTTAATTTTAAAATTACTATATCTTTTTATAATAAGCTAAAGAATATAGTATAGCTTATTTTATTATAACTAGTTTTATTTAAAAAAAAGCTAGTTAGCTAGTTAAGCCCGTATTATTTATAATAACTAAGGTATAAATAATAAAAAGCGAGGCTATTTATTTAAAAATAAGAATAAGTTAATATTAGTTAGGTTTATAAAAAGAATAAGTTAGCTAAGTTAAAGTTAAATATTAAAGTTATTTTAATAATAAATAAGGAGCTAATTTAGCGTTTTTAATAAGGGGAGGATAATAGGGAATTATATAAGTAAATAGCTAATATAACTCAATATTTAAAAAAAAACGGAGCTAATAAAAAGTAGTTTATAATAATAATAAATTATTATAACTATGTTAAAAAAGGTAGTTAAGTAGATATTATTATAATTTACTTTTTATATATCTTAAGTATATAATAAAAAAAAGCTTTATTTATTTAAGATTTATAAAAGCTTATATTATTAACTAATTTAAGATTTATAAATCTTAAATAGGTAATATAATAGTTCTAAACGAGTACGTAAGTTATAGTAATATTCTTATTTTTAAAAATCTTAAACTAAAGCTTAGGTTAGAGAGGATAATAAAAATAGTTATATTAATATAATTACTTTTACTATTTTTATAAATAAGTACTATTTTTTTAAATTAATTAAAAAATAGAATAGTAATATTAATATAAGAGCGACGCCGGTATATTAATTTATAATGCTAGTATATTAATTCTTATATTAATATACCCCTTAGTTAAATAGTTATTAAAATAGCGCGTATATTAGCTACTATTTTTTATAAAATAATAACTACTATTTTTAAAATTAGTATATTAAAGGGCTATCTTAAAATAAGGTAAGTACTAAATTTCCTATTTTTTAAAAGCCTCTTTTTTAAGCTTTTTAAGGACTAAATATATATTAAATAGGCTTAAAATAATAAAAAGAATTATACTTATTACGGGGGGTACCTTAGCTTCTTAGCGTTTTTTTTTACTTTTTATTACTTTTTTAAAAAAACTAATTTTATATTTTTTAAATTTTAAAATAATATTAAATATAAACTCTTAAAATAATAAGTATATAATATACTTTTTTTAAAAAGCTTATTATTTAAACTAATTTTATTTTTATTTTTAAACTCCGAGGGGGGGATAAGTAAAAGCTTATTAAAACTCTTATTATTATTATTTATTTTATTATTATTTTTATTATAACTATTAAAAAAAGCCTCGAACTTAATAAAGTCCTTAGTATTTTAATTAATAATTTTAATATTCTCTTAGTTAAGGAGGGAGAGCTTAGTAACTAAGCCTTAATAAGTAAATAAGAAGTTATAGGGGGGGTAACGACTTAAAAAGGCTTATTAATATTATTACTTATTTAAACTCTTAATAAATTATATAATATATATATAAAAAGTATTATAAAAATTATATAAAACTTATTATTATTTTTAGATATATTAAATATTTATATTTAAAATAAAATTAATAAATAATTTAATAGCGTAGGTATATATATATAATAAACGGGGGTATTTATAATAACTATGAGAGGTTAAAAAAAAAATAGCTAAGTAACGCTACGAGAATTTAAATATACATAAAATAGCTAAGTAGCCTCGTTCTTAATAATTTATATACTAAAAATAATATAATATACGCTATTTTAAATTAGGATTTTATTTTTTTTTAAATAAAGGGATATATTTAAAATAAACGCGGTTTAAAAAACGTATATTTTTTATATTTTTTTTTTATTTATATTTAACTAAATTAGGCTTTTATAAGGGTATTTAAAAATTCTATTTTAAGTATAATAACTCTTTAATAATAGTAATTAGAGAGTATATTATATAATAAGGATAATAATTATACTTTATAAAGTACTTATTATGTATTAAATTATGTATCTATTTTAAATATTATGTATATAGACCTTTTCTTTTTATCTATTTCTACTTTAATAATTAAGCTACTTTTACTATACTCCGTATGCCCATTGCTGCGTGCCATAACTCGTGACAAAGTCACAACGGCAAAGCCGAAGCAACGGCGAGAGGCCATAGATCACCTTAAAGTCAGAGCAGTCACTTCGGTATGCTCGTTAGCAGTTCAGAAGAGCGCATGCTCGTGTCTGTACACATGTCCAGGGCCAGTCATCAAGGATAGTCGCAAAACCATCAAGAGTATTGAGACTGAGATCTCATGGGTCGTAGGTTCCTTATGCCGGCAATCCTCCCTGAGGCCTGTTGACAAGATCAGCGTTGACGAGAGTCTGATCACTAGGTAACAACTTCGTTCATTACGTACACCAATATCGAATACTATCCGATCATTACAGCCGAAGTCTCACTTCTGACTAGCACTGTCACGGTAAGTCGCGAATCACAGAGTCTTCGGCGTTGTCGCCTTATGATCGACTCTAACATTGACTTCGGGATATTTCAGCAAGCGGAAATTGCGACCCATACGCGGAAGATCAAATGCACCCCTTCGGCCAGCGACCCGTCTTTCTACCTCCTAGCAACCGTTGCGCCGGTCCCAACACCGGTCCCAGTGTACAACGGCAAATACGTGCTCGCGAACCCGCAGTTCGAATTGTTCACAGAGAATGGCGTCTTGTTCGAGCCGCAGTATACCCCGGACAAGGGCACCGCCAGCGTCTTCATCCTCGATAGCAAAGGCCGCATCGTCACGCAAACATCCTACGGCGATCACTTCTTCGCCAGCGATGACTATAATGACTTCGAGCTGATGCACATCCTGCCCCGTGGATGGATCCAGGCGCGCAGAGGTCACAATGGCGAGGATGCCGGATTCGACTATGTCTATTGCACGATGCAGCCTCCGTCGGGGCGATATGTTGGTGGATTCAAGGAGTTGGCATGCACGCAGGGGTACTTCAATGCGACGGTCTTGCAGTATTGTCCGTTATATGACGAGTATTTCCACACAGGAACGGTGCTTGGGGCGGAGTACAGTGCTACAACTCCTGGTTGTCTGCTGGTGACATACTTGGTGGTTCCCGTTTGCTGAGAACAATTGGGTGCTTCGGCATTGATTTCGTGGGGTGGGTTGGAAGGCCCGGAATTACGGGTCCGGTTACCAAAGCCGCCAGGCTCCACCTCGCCGAAGTGGCCTTCGGGAGCCGGCGCCGGAAATCTGAGGTGTCATGCGTCTCGCTTGAGAGCTGCTTCCGCCAGGATCCATGTATGCATTGTTTCGTACGCCATTAAACTCATTCCATCGGACTTATCCATCAGTTTGCGAACTCCTTCTCATTTGAATGAAGGTCGTCTGGCTCCTGCCAGTTGGGCGACTGACTCGCAGGGATAGGACGCGTCGGGCCGGAGCGGGAAAGTCCTCATGTTCGTCCTTTCTCCATGCCTGAGACATTCTGTTCGTCCCTGCATCAATTCCGTCTTGATTCTATATGTCGGTCAATTTCGAGAACCCAATTTAAAAACGGAAGGTACGATCAGACGCGAACACGTGACGTCATACCGTACACAGAAGGCAGGGACCCCAAGTAAGGTAGCTACGTCATTCAACGTTCCCCAGTTGTTCCTGACAATCACCTCGCAGCGGATGTAGCTGCAGCACAACCAATCCAGCCTCAACTGTCATTTTTGTTGAGTGCGGCACTTCATGATACCTTCTCCCTCATACTACACACCTCAAAATACCTCCTGCGAGACCGTAAACCACAGGAAGCAAGCTACCAAGCTATCGCTTCTCCATTCCTACCACCGATCACCGCAAAATCAACGTCTCTGTCGCTCGACACCAAGCACCCACCACAATCACCATGGCAGAAATCGCAGCAGGCGCTGTCGTAGCTGAGCAGGTCGTTTCCACTGGCATCGAGGCTGGAGCGGCCGTCGCTGTGGCACGCCCAACCCAGCCTCTGAAGGTGTCACTATCCCAGGTCGCCACCACCCAGTCCCCCGCTTTCGACACGTCGTAAGTCAGATCCCTGTCTTCCAAGGGGGTTGACTCTAACACTTGAACAGCGCTCTTGCACGTTCCCACCATTCAGTCACCGTCGTCAACCACAAGGCATGCATCTTCGGCGGCGAGACAGCAGAGGGCGAGCTAGCTTCTACTGACTTCCATGTCCTCTCCTTGCCGGCCATGACCAAGGGTGAGCCAGTTGCAGCCTATGCTTGCTATCCGGCATTCGCAATGCAGGATGCAGAGACCGGCAAGACCTACGTCCCTTCCCCGCGTTCAAGACATGCGGCGGCAGCCCGCGGCCAGTTCGTGATCGTCAATGGCGGTGCTGATGCCAGTGGAAAGCCCATCGACGAGACGTGTCTCTGGCTATGGGACTCTGAGAGTTTGAAGTGGACCAAGATCCAAGGAGCAAGCCAGATTGGCAAGACCATCACCCCGAGATTCGACCACCACATCTTTGTCGAGCAGACCCAGGACTTCCTGGTTCTTCACGGAGGACGGACTGCACCAGGACAGGAAGCATCTACCGAGACGTGGATGTACAACTTTGACACTCTCGCCTGGACAGCGTTGCCGCCTTCTCCTCAGCCTCCTCTCGCGGCCACGTTCGTGGATAATGTTCTTTATACCATCGGGGCTGACTCATCATTAGAGTTACCGTTTACGAATACGATAAGGGTTAACGAAGATTTCCAACGTTAGCAAAGTTATTTAGGGGTTTAATAAAGATATTCGATGCTAGCAAAGATCGATACTATTCCGTTTAAGCATAGTCCCGGTGCTAGTCGTAACGCTAAAGGAAAGAAGCGTCGTCTCGGCAAGAAGAATAACTCTGCCCGCGATAACATGAACGGGGCGGGACTTGAGAAATTCATACTTGGAGGTGAACGAGAGAGTTTGGGATGAATGGGAGTTTCAGGGGCGGATGGAGATGCTTGGGCATGACAGATTCACCGCGAGTCAACGAACATGTTCAAGGTCGCTGAATATGGGGAGCAATGGGGTACGGTCGACCATCCTCGACTTCTGAAATTCATCAATGAGAAAGAAAGATGATTGCGGGAAAGGTCCGAGGGACTTGTACCCGTGGTTCGAAACAAGCATCCAGGCCGTGAACGATGGACCGCCCAAGAACCAAGTAACGAGCAGATCACAAGAGAGACCCCAAAGACCCCCTTTCGGCTCCCTACCCTTCATCTCCCGCGCTCCTTCATTGACGTGAAGCCGTAAGCCGACTCAGATTCTTTAGAGGGAACAAGATCACTTCCCCAATCCTTAGAGACTCTTCTTTTTGAAATGTAACGTCAACTCAGGACTTGAATCACCACCGTTCCTATACACGGTATCTTTACAATACGTACACTACCCCAAACACGCCAATAAATGACTTCGGTATCATGTGTAACAACAAAACAAAAGGCCCTAGACAAAACAAAGCTGCCAGCCCCCAAGCTACTGCTTGCCTCGCCGTTGGCCAACCCCCATGCCATGGTCCCGAGTGTATATATATATGTTTAAACCTCCCGTATGTGAACCCAGCCCAACCTGACTCCTCCCCGGCCGCTCCATCCATCCCTCGGCCGAAAACACCTTCCAAAGTAATTCCAAACACGCTATGCCGCCCTAATAGCCAGACGCCTAAAGCCAGGTTCTAGCAATGCACGAAATGCGAGCCATTCGCTCGTGTGGGGGGGAATCATAATAAGACAGTGAAAAAGGAAAAGAAAGAATGATGGTATAGACAAAACGGAAAAAAAGAAGAGAGACGAAATTAGTCCCGAAGTTCCACGCCGACCTCCTGGTGGACGAGCCTCAACACCCACGAGGCCTCCGAGGCGCTGGAACACTGGAAACACCACTTTTTGACCGAGCCGGCGGCGCCACCCGTCTTGGGCGCCACGCCAATCTCGCCTCTCTCATCGCGGATCTCCTCCCAGATACCGCAGATGATGCCTCGGCTGCCCATAGGAGTGAAGCAGCCGCTGCCCAGCACGGCATCGAGAATGATGCGCGCCTTGTCTGATTTCTTGGGCATAGTTGTAACCGTGACGCGCTTTTCGAGGCCGTGGTTTGCGCGTAGGTCTTGGTGCCAGCCCGGCGGCGGGCGGCGAATCTGGATGATGCAGTTGCCGTAGTCCTCCCACTTGTTGGAGCTGACAAGCAGGTGTAGGCGAATCTTGATATTGTCGGATGACAGAGGACTGCGGATGGAGTTGGAGTACATGCTGATCGATGGTGAGCGGGGATAGCCATCGGAAGACGATCCGGATCCGTAGAGGCTGTTATTATTGGAGGAATGGCCCTGCTTGTCGATGGACGAGCGAGCAATGTTGAAAGCGTTGCCTTGCGTGAGTCTCTTGAGGAAGCTCGTGGCAGACAGACTCGACGAGGGGGTGCTTCCATCTTGCGATTGGGATGGAGCGCGGGTCGATGCGCGGTAGCTGTTCTTGCGTCCGAACCAGCTGCGACGACGACTGCTGTTGTCCTCGGTATCTTCCGAGGGTCTCTGGCCGAAGGACTGATAGCGTGCCTCGTTCTCGAGCTGAATAAACTTTTGGTTGTTGAGGCGGGCATGGTGAACGGCCATGTATAGATTGTAGCATTCCGTAGCCGATGGGCAGCGGAAACGGAAGTTGCCCCCACCAATATCCTTGTTCTTGCAATTGTCCTTGACGGCTGAGCGGATTTCAAGGTCGACGACGGTAGACTGGCGGAGGAGGACGAGGGGCGTAAGCTCGAGAGAAACAAGAGGGATGTCGGGCTCTCCTCCGGGGCTCATGACTAGAGAGTAGCCCTCAATGACACCGGCCGTCACCTGAATGGAGCAGGGCTCCAGGGAAATGTCCTTCCACTGGCCCTTCTTCTCGTTCCAGTACGAGATGGAAGCAATATATTTGGTGTAGCTCTCCGAGGCACTCATTTTGCGGCCATGAAGACCGGCTTGCGACGCCGAGTTGGACGGCGTCAGGCTGCACACCGACTCGGACACCATGGACTCTTGAACGAATGACTGCGAGATCATGGACTCTTGCTTGAAGGAGTCGACAAACTCCTCTCTCTCTCGCTCCCGTTCCTCGCGCGGCTGATGCTCGGGCTCTCTAATGCTGAAGCCAACCTCAGTCTCGGGGATGTCATCGTCAAAGTCATCTTCGGACTCGGATGACGTGTAGTCGGATTCTGTCTCTGTCTCGCTTTCTGAGAGGTCGGTCTCTGTGACGGACCGAGTCGTATCGGATGATTCTTCAGAAGGCAGATATTCGTGCTTCAGAGGTGAGGATCCCCGACGCTTCACACGAGAGCCGCCAAGGTCGACAGGTGGCGACAGCTTGGGGGGCTTAGGGCTCAAAGAGCGGTGAATGGGAGGAGGAGGAGCGCCGTCCGCGCGGTAGGGTGTCGTATTTGGCGCAGCTCTGTGTCTGTCCTCCTCATCGTACGAGTCTTGTGTAGGGGTTCTGTCTGGAGAGGGGCTGCGGCGGATGGGAGTGGTCGGCATGCTTGAGCCGCGGTTGTGGTAGCGACTAGAAACCGATCGCTTGGGCGCGTATGGCTCTGGGGATGACAAGTCTCTCGATGATGATCCGTGCAACTTGCCGCCCACAGGAATATCGGTACGGTGCTGCGGCGAGTCGGGGAGGCTCTCTTCAGTGACAACCGGCAGCCGCTCCTTTGGTGGCATGGGCGACGTGCCAACAATGTCAAGCCAGTCTTCCACTTGGTCATTGTTGTCTGTGACGAGGCTCAGCAGCTCGTACCAGTGCCGCCCGTTGTGAGAGCCCGACACCATAAGAACGAGCTCGAATTTTGCGTCACCACGGCGGGCTGAGATCACAGTCATGGGCATGGGAGGGAAGAGAAGCCATGTACGGCGGCCGCTGCCAGTCTCACGGATGAGCAAGTCGCCCTTGTCGTTGTTCGCGCCAGGAAGGTCGCGGTGGATGAGTTCGACCTGGCACTCGAGGCGTTGTCCATTGGAATGTGCGAGGCTGAGGGAGAAAAGGTCCTTTGCGCTGACCTGCCGCTTGGGGTCGATTTTGACGGCTTCCATCGGTGCGAGTGTCCGCAGATTACGGATTCTGCTCGTGTCGGTGTTAATGGCGTCCTCGTCAGCCAGCCGCGCAGACTCTTCCCTGTGGCGACGCTTGGCTTTCTCTTGCAACATGTCGTAGTCGCCAACCAGCGCAAGTGTATCATACGAGCCGACAGCGGCATGAAGGCCCTGATTTACGGTTAGTGAAGCTCGTTTCAACGCAGTGGGAAATAGTACCTTGGTGAGCTTTGCAAGAGTCCGGATGCGAAGCAAGGGCCGTTTCAACAAATGCGCAACGTCGACTCTCTCTCCGTCTTCGTTAACGACGTCGCCTTCGGCGTTGCGCGGGAGTGCACCGATGAGGGAATCCTCGTCGTCGAGGCGATCGGCAGCAGGAGCCAGGTTGACGACGAGATCTTGGAATCCAAGGCGCCACGCGTCCAGGTAGCTATCGTATATGGGAGAGGCGGTGTGCAGCCAGGAAATGAGCCGATCGATATCCGTATGAGAAGCCCTCTTATGGGCGGTCTTTAGTTTTTCCAGTGCAACTCCCATGTTGACGACAGATTTCGACATGCTGTTTGCCTTACGGCCAGGGGACTCGGGGCCAAAGAGATCGACGGCACTGGCTGAGCCCTCGTGAAGGACGGTGGAGAGGAGGACGGGGACAACGCCGTCGACCAGCGTCTTGAGCTCCCGCTGGTACAAGTTCTCGTCATCTGTGAACTCCTTCATGAGGTCCTTTGTTGTAACCGTGTCTGGACGAGCATTGGCTCTTCGTACGCTGGCAGCCTTTCTTACACTCGCCCTAGGTTTGATGCTCCGGAGGCTACCTGGCACCTGGCTTTCATCTGGCAAAGACAGAACTGACACGAGATCAGAGTGTTTAGTCAGCCTTCTTTTGAGACCCGATTTATTGCTCCGCCGCCGCGAAACGTTGCTTCTTGTAAGCCCCGTAGTCTGCGTGATGGTGGTTTCGGACAGTACCGATGTCATGTCCGAATCATAGGTGCTATGAGTGTCGGCAGACCCGAGAATCGTGGACAACTCGTGTACGCCGTTCGTTGGCGGCTTCCGGCGGGGTGCCACCGAGGACTCATCATCGTACGTCCAATCGTCAGTAAATGTTCGATCGGAGTAGGTCCGGCTAGATCCAGAAGAGCGGCGGCGCATGGTTCGCCTGGATTCGTCATCTTCTCCGGGACTATCATACTCCTGATCCAGCTCCAGCTTCCGCTCTTCTTCGCTAATGTACTTGGAAGGCGGAGTCTGGTGGCCAGTGGACTCTCCCCTGAAGGCCTCCTTGAGGATCTCGCGGAACGGCTTCTTGACTGACTTCGCCGGGGACGGCGAGCTCCTCGTAGCTGCTCTCCGACGAAGGCCAGCGGCGCCAGCAGAAGTTGGTGTCTTTGGCTTTTCCTTGGGCTTTTCCTCGACATTCCTAGGTGCCACATTTTCGTCGTTCTCGGTTGACGCGCTCAGGTCAGTCGAAGATAGGGTTGACTCTGTCCAATCCGTTGATTGTGTAGTCTGAGTCACGTCAGTTGTTTGTGTTGTCTGGGTGGACTCGGTGAGCCCAGTGGATTCCGAAAGCTCAGTCTGAGTCGGAAGGGAAGGCTTTCGCTGACGGGGTTCGGCCGATGATCGTCTACGGGTATCTTGCGTCTTTGTCTTA